AGTCTGGACGAGAGAAAACTCTGTTCTCAATCTGGCCCAGTGAACTACTTTATGAGCCAGTCCAGTTTCAAGGACCCGAGCCAGATGTGAGAGGGATTCTGTCCAAGTTTAAAAGCACGAGGTCTCAGGAATGTCCTTTCAAACTGGATTTCACTGCCTATAAATATTTTCCATCTTCTGCCCTGGAGCATATAGGTTTGACTCCACAGCTGATGAGCCTGGGCAGAACAGGAGAGAAGGCCACGCCGTTTATCACTGACAGTTTGTCAGCATGCAAAGTGTAAATTGTAGAAAAATGAAAAACAAAACAAAACAAAATCAACCCCAAAAAACAAGAAGAAAGAGACAGGCAGCAGTTAATAAGGTCTCAGTAAAAATCAAACCTGATAGGTCCATTTTCTGCACAAAGCAGAGTTCAGCATTGCTTACAGCTAGGAAACCAAATAAGCTCCATGAGATTCTTCCAGGTTGGAGATCCCTAATTCTATCCCATGGGGAAATCTGGTAGATCAAATGCAGGACAGGACACAACTAGCCCATGCTGGGTGCTTCACAGCACCATTCCTGCACATTGCACGCTCTTGGAATTCCTGGATCACCTCAATATGCTAGAAAAATCAGGGAGCACTACTCTTGCTGCAGGAAGAGCACAAGTGGGACGGAAACTGCTTAGTGATAACAATACGTATGAAGATGAGTAATTTAGTATGCGAGTGGAAAGGATGGGAGCTGGAAGAGCACAACTGCAGCTTCACGACTACAAACAGCACTGAAGTTCCGATGCAAGATCCATACAAGCCTTCTCTGCTTGCACAGCACATTTTGAGGTTGTGTAGAAAGTGAAGAACCAGGTTCTAACTAGCTTCTCATGCCTCCCTTTTACCATCACGTTTGAAACAACTCATCCTTTACACTGCTTGTTTACCGAAAAGCCTCTGTCGCATTCCATGCAGAGGCCCTTTCAGACACAAAGTCACCTACAGGCTAGTTTTCCAATGACTCACCTGTATTCCTAGCAGCACTTCAGTTTGCATTCATCAACACGACGCCATACATCTCCCTTTTCCACTAGGGATCTGTTCTGTTAGCCACGCATAAAATCTTCATACACCAGCACTCGCTGCAGGTCTTTGCAAAATAAAAGGGAAAGCTGAGTCTGAGAGGTGAGGGCCCGGAGAGGCTGTTGGTGCATGCAATGATGAAGCTTAGACAGAGCATCAGACAAAGCAGCATCATAAAGTATGTGAGACTTGGGTCAAAGCACCCTCCTGGTCCTGCTGCTACCGCTCCTTGCTGCGCACAGGCTCCTGGGACTATCACCACCTCTCACCAGGTTTGATGGGTACAGTGACCAAGAGTAGGTTTGCACTCCAGTAACAGAAACCTTATTTGATCTTTTAGTCACAAATCTCTTGTAGCAAAAAATGAGCACCTCGAGGGCTTCTGGGATTCCTGGAGGATTCCCAGGACTGGAGAGGTTAAAGACATGTCAGACAGTTCATGACCGTCTCACAGCAACCATGTTCCGCTTCTCACTGCATCAAATTTTATAAACTAGCATCCAGCTTCAGTTCAGCCATTATATCAACACATGATATTTTTAGACAATTATCAGTGAGCACCAAGTGACCAGCTTGCAGGCTAATGCACTCACCTGCTGTACTGTTAGCATCAGAAAATCACCAAAGGTTTTAATTTCTTCAGTCTGTGCTCATGAAACACCCTGCATTGTGATATGGCACTGTATTGCTCCTTTCAAGTGTACTACATGTATATCCATGTAGAGCACCCAGTAATTTTTCCTGCGTATTTATGTCAATTTTGATGGCAAAGGATCTTACATCTACTTGGAAGATAGGAATGCTGCTCAGCCTCCAAAGTGTGTAGCTGAACTCCACATATGTTGTCTACTTCCAGGAGCAAAACCTTATGCATGTTTACCTGTACCAGCTTAGCTGCTGGTTTACTCTTCTCATCTTTGAGGATGGACATTTTAAGGGTATTTTGTTACTGCACAATCAAGGAATCCCAGCATAATCAAAAGATGCCATCTGTATCTTACCAGGAGCTGGATCGATCAAGACCTGCGCCCTCTAGCTCAGCTACACAGCTACCCTAGAATCACAGAATCGTTTAGGTTGGAAAGGACCTTTAAGATCATCGAGTCCAACTGTTAACCCAGCACGGCCAAGACCACCACTAAACCACATCCCTAAGCACCACATCCACACATCTTTTAAATACCTCCAGGGATGGTGACTCCACCACTGCCCTGGGCAACCTCTTCCAGTGCTTGACAACTCTTTTGCTGAAGAAATTTTTCCCAATATCCAATCTAAACCTCCCCTGGCACAACTTGAGGCCATTTCCTCTCATCCTATCGCTTGTTCCTTTGGAGAAGAGGCCGACCCCCACCTGGCTACACCCTCCTTTCAGGTCATTGTAGAGAGCGATCAGGTCTCCCCTCAGCCTCCTCTTCTCCAGACCAAACCCCCCCAGCTCCCTCAGCCGCTCCCCATCAGACTTGTGCTCCAGACCCTTCCCCACCTTCGTTGCCCTTCTCTGGACTCGCTCCAGCCCCTCAAGGTCTGTCTTGTGGTGAGGGGCCCAGAACTGGACACAGCACTCGAGGTGCGGCCTCACCAGTGCCAAGTACAGGGGGACGATCACTGCCCTGGTCCTACTGGCCACACCATTGCTGAGACAATCTATCAGAAGGGGTGTAGGATGTAGAAGGTGGCTCCTTGTTTTTCTCAACACCCTCTAAACTGTCATGTGTTAGTTCCTCTTCTGCATCTGAATAAAAATGAAATTTTAGGTGATGTTAATGAAACTTCTAAATGGTACCCCATGCAGCGGACCCTTTTCATTCCCCTTTGCACAGCCAGGCTTCCTTTAGCTTAAAGAGCTGGAGGTTGTCCTGTCCAGCAGAGCATCCAAACATTTAACCAAATTCAGTTCTAGAATCTTAATCTGGCATTTTAAAGATAAGCTAAACAAATATCATGGCTGCCTCAGAGCCCCTACTGAGCAGGTGAAAGAATTCTTGTAAACCAGTTTGCACGGTGTAAACCAACACACAGAGGGAAAATCTAGTTTGGCATTTTCCTCTACAGAGGCCTCTTCTGTTGAACAGCCATTGCTCCGTAGAAAGGATTCAAACGGCTAAACTCCATTTTCAAAGACAAGGCTAACAGGGTTCATAGCTACAGATCCTCCTGTTCTCCCTCCACACTCTCTGCTACTACCTACTGTTGTTTTCACAGCCCACCACTGTCCAGTGCTTGATGCCCCGAAGATCCAAGCAGCATCTGAAGAGACAAAAATCAACAAATCACCAGTTGGATGACACAAAGACCAAGAAAGTAAGGGGAAGAGAGAAGAGTGGAGGGGTCTGGAAAAGAAGTTTATTTATCATAAATACAGATCAGCCAGACATGCAGTTTAGCCCACAGAAGAGGCAAAAACCCTGGAGACTCTCCAGAAAGCCACACGCTGGAAAGCTGTTTCCCAGTTACTTCCCTTTCTCAACAGCAAGACCAGGATGAACTCAATTATCCGACAGCTCGGTGATCTTTTCTGCCACGGGATTCTACTGACATGTTCCACCAACAGTATCTGTGTCTGCTAACGGCAGCAACCTATCTCCATGCCAGCAAACTCCTCCTGCCTGGTCAGAGGTGCAGGTTTCCTAACAAATTAATTCTGTGAGTGCTTGTTCGGAGCACAATGGTGCACAGCGATTCAGTGGATGAGGGGGTGTATTCACAGACCCAACTGGGAATCTTGCTGCCAACATCTGTTTAGGTAAAGGCCATTTCGAGAAACAGTATGAAATGAGGCTCTTCAGGCTTGTGTCAGAAATTTGGGTATATTGTTTTAGTAGCAACCTCTGGATTTTGTCCCCACTAAGAATATCACACTTTGAACAGGTTGATGACATATGATCTAATAATTACAATTTGCTCCTCCCTGTGCAGTGAGGGTTAGAAGTCCCCTGCATTCTCCCTGGCCCTCTGCCACGTGAACCTCTCGCTGCACAGTGCCTGCAAGCAGATGCTGCAATAGCTGACAGAGTGACTGCACTTGAGGAAAGAGAGATCAGCACAGAGTTCATCCTTCAGCCTTGTGGGGCTCAGTTCTTCTCCAGGATTCTGGTGAGGAGTTCATTCAGCCGGCTCACCATTGGTCTGGGATCCTCATTCAGTCCTGCTGCTATCATTGCATTCTCATATATCTGAAAAAGAGAAGAAAGCATTACACAAGCAGCAAGAGCGAGCTGCACGAGAGCTGGGGAAGAAGTGAATGTAACTCTCCAGGACTCGCACGCTGAGACAAAGCATGTCTTGTAGGCCACCTGGTAGAAAAACACATAGACCTCAAGTACCAGAAACAGCAAGTGGAGACCACAGGAGGATGTGATTCTTGCCCGCTACAAGGGCTTCACCCTGTTCCCTGCCACATGTGTCTCCAAGCTGGCTCTGGGGAGGATGGTGCTGCGTCTGGAGAAGGCCTGGTTCCTACCTGATCAAGCAAGAGCTGGGCCAGATCAGGCTGACTGTCCTTCAGCTCGTTAAGCTTCTTAATCAGAGCATGCCTGTAAGAGTGAGAGAGATCAACACTGAGACTTGGTATTTTTGGACACAATGAGAAATTTATTTGCAGAATGAGCAGCTAAGCCAAGGTGGGACAGAAAAGGTTCTACCTAAAGGCCAAAACAGCTCCAACTTCCTTGTTCCCATTCTGGGGGCTTCTCTCTTCTCTCTCATCCTTTCCCTATAACCCCCATGGTCCCCAGAGGGCTGCACACAGTGTGTGTGGGTGGCTCATGTCGACTGTGCCATGCAGCCTCACAGATTAAGACACTACACTTCACAGGGAGGGCTCTGCTAATTGGGAGCCTTAAGTTGCCTCCTCTCTGCCTCCATCCCAGAAAGACTGCAGAGCCCCAGGCCTAGCACTGGTATTGTTCCCCCTTACCCTGTATTGATCTCCAGGGTGGGCTGCAGGAGCTGGGCACGCTCCTCTTGGGTCTTGGCCAACTGCTGCATGCGAAGAAAGTGGCGGGCAGCCCCCATCTCGAGCACAGTGATCATGGCGGGGTGGGTGTCCAGCCGTGTAGTCACCTGTGGCAAAAACAGCGATCAGTGCTGAGATGGAAAATGCATATGGGTTAGACGTGGGGGAGGTTCAAGGACTCAAGAGTCTCATCAGCACAGATCCACACCAAGCCTCCACACGATTAGTTCCTGCCCCACAGGAGCTGCCTAAACCAGCAGGAAAGCTGGGGGCCCAAATGGCCCCACTGGTCCCCAGGCAGCAGCTCGCAGCTGGACCCAGAGCACTCCTTGCCAATAAGCCTTTCTAGTCCACAGGCAAGACAGTCACCAGCCTGTTCTTCTGGTAACCTGAGCATGAACTAGCAAAATGGGCTTTGCTCATTACACATTAAGATGTGGTTCTTCTGCTGCCACGCTGACCATCCAAATGACAAACGCCAACATTCGTACCATTTACAGAAAGGAGGCACGGAGAAGAATGATTTCTCTCAGCATCCAAAGAAAAATCTGCGGCAGCAGATCCCCAATCAACCACCACCTTTTTTCCCTAGATTATCACCCCCATGGATCTCCTGTACTTAGTTACCCAGACACTGAATACCTACCTTAACACCAGTGACTCGAGAGCCCAAGGCATTTCTCATCCAGGCCATCAGATCCTCAGCCTCTTTCTCTGTCAGACGTTCGGCAGCTGGCAGGGGAAAGAGGGCACATCTGAGCGTGCATCTACAGTGTGCCAATGGACAGTGAGCTTTACTCCGCAGCTCAGTCCATTTCATACTTCCATTGATCTGTTCTCTTGTGGAAATGGGAAGGCAGCGCCGCTCAGCACACACCTACGTATACGCTCTCATCTCAGACCGTGCCATACTGAGAGAGTGCAGGCTCAGCTCATGCCCTGCCAGTGCCTGCCTGCCTCTGTCAGGGCACCAGATGTATGCCTGTTGTTAAGACTGAAATCATGGAAACTCCACATAGGACATTCCATCTGTTTAAATTCGCAAATTGCTTAAACTTTGATCACATGGGATGAAAGGGATCTGCAAGAACTGCAAGTTGCCTCGGAGCATGAGAATGGCAGGATGGAAAGGAGTGCTGTTGCTCACATGCTCAGGACCTACAAGAGCGCCGGAGGAGATGTACCCTCGCTGGTTGGCACAGGGCGGTAGGACTGCATGCAGCAGGGAGGGCCAGGGGAGCCCCACGATACCTGGGCGGCTCTCCTCAAACTTCTCCTCCTTGTAGTGATCAACAACAATATCTGTCTCCACCGAGATCAACTTCTTCTTGTCAAACTCCCGAAGGTGCAAGAGTGTCAGCTCATCAAATTGCTCATAGCAGAACAGGACCTGTGCCAAAAAAAAGGGACAATAACACACTGTTTGGGATGTACCAGAATTTCCTCCTTCCCAAGGCAACTCTGCACCAAACAGCAAGAACATCACAAGGGAAATTAGCAGGTTCAATGCCATGGTGACTATTGCTCAGGGCACCAGATGAAAGCAAACCCTTGGAGGGCTTTGTTACGATGGGTGGCAGGTCTGCAGCTGAACAAGTCCTGCTGCCCATGGGAAGTGAGAACCAGCACTGACTCCAGTCCTGAAAGGGCCACCTGCCCACCAAGGACACCTATAACACCGTTACCAGCCCCGCACAGCACCTCCTAGGCTCCTGCTCTGGGGTTCAGCGAAGGTATTGAAGAAACCTCAGAACCAGACGTCTGCACGAGTACTAACCTGCCTGCACAGGGTGTGTGACAGGTCCTTCCTTGCCTCACACCACAGTAACCAGTCTGAGTGGAGACAGAGGGAGCCCGGGCAAAGACACCACAGTGGCAGGGTCTGCCACAGCCCTCATCGCCCTGCTCAGCTCTGAGATCCAGGTGAGCCCTGACCACTGCTATAGTAGCTCAAGGTGTTCCCCTGGCCATGGTGCACTGCTCACCTACCTCCATGTCCTTTTTCTTCATGGCCTCAAAGTATGGGGAGTGCTCAGCCAGGTGCCGGTTGGGTGTGCACAGGTAGTAGATGTTTCTGCTCCCTGCCTTCATGCGGGAGGCGTAGTCGCTCAGGCTGGTCAGCTGGCCTGCGGGAAGGGCGGACGATTCATAACGTAGCAACTTTGCTATGTCCTCCTGGAAGAAATGTGCTCCCATGAGCTGAGGGCAGGCGACTATAGCTCTACCTGACCACCCTCAGCCCCAAGAATTCCTGTTGTGGCATGCAGGCCTGTTTGCAGCCCTGCAAAAAGGCTCAAGGGGATCCCAAGTCCCTCCTTTCCTGCTCCAGATCTTAAGGAGGCAGAAAAGTGACCTAGACAGGATGCAGGTCAAGCTCTCCTGGAAACGGGAATCCAGGTAAAGGACAACAGTAGGTGAAAGTCCTGCTTTATTGCTTCTTGTAGCTCATATTGCATCAGGGAGAGCTGACAACACAGCGGGGATACAGAGACTCTGCAGTGTCTCGAATTAAGTGGGAAGCAGCACTGAGTCAGAAAGAGTGACAGTTTGGGCACTAGAGAATCTGTAGGTCTTGTTAGACCCAGGAACGTAAGTTATGGGTGTGTAAGATTCACAGAGAAGTAGCAGTCTCCCTCATCCCAGGTCATGGTAGGAGCTAGTAATCTTTCCCATCAGCTGCTTCAGGATTCCTGGTACCTTGACATCCTGCTCTGCTATTGTGACAATCCCCTCTCTCATGAATACCCCGTAGTCCTCAAAGAATTTGGCATATTTCTCGGGGTCCTTCTTGCTCTGGTCAATGAAGAACTTGATCAACCTCTTCTGCAAAACATCTCGGAGCTTCCTGCAGCAGGAACAAGCCTTTTTAAAGATAGCTGCTAGACCAAGACAAGAGATTTTAGGTGGACACGCTTCTCCCTGTGCAGTGTTTTAGTGATGCATTTGCAAACATGAGGACAAAGAAGAAACTCTGGGTCCACTGTCTCCTTTCCCTCATGGCTGTACATCTGTTCTTTGTATCTCAGTCAAGAGCAGCTCTTGAGCTGTAGAGATAGCTAGATCTGTGGTACAAATGTCCACAAATCTTCAGTAACTCGTGACTCTGTGATGCTGCAGTACATAACCAACTGTGCACAGGGCATCTGCCTTACTCCCACAGGTACCCTTAAACAGGGGAAGGAAGTGGCTATAAAAGGGTTATGCTCGGAAGAACCCTTTCCGAAGGCCTGAAAATCCACTGTGAAGTGACAGCGTTAATTTGGTGACTATAGCAAAGGTAGAGACACTTCCCCAGTGGCAGAATGCAAAGTTAGCCATCAAACCTAACAAGATTACCGCGCCAATGCTAAGGAGTAAGAGCCTATGCTTATACTTCTTTCAAGTTCCAACAATGGCAGATGTTTGAGAAGGGACTTAAATGACAAAAAATAAGGAGAAACCAAAGCCAGATCTAAAGGGTTTTTAGAGGAGACCGACCCGCTGGCAGTCAGCTTCACTGGGCCTCAGCACCAAAGGAAAACCCTGCTGGCCGGCACTCAGGTTTTGACAAATGGGTGCGTGAGCACAGCAGAGCTTTGAAGGAAGTCTGGAAACAAGAGGCACAAAGTGCTGTTTGAAGATCTACATGTAAATAATGGTGACACTAAAGTACGGCCCAGCTTCCTAGCATTGACAGCTGACTTACTGTTTGGTTTTGTTTTCCAAACCACTTGGTGGTGCAGACCAGACAGTTTAAATAGCAAATCCACTGTTACTGCTGTAGACCGGAGATACTGAATGACAGCCTAGGACACAAGAGGCACATGGCCCAAGCAGGCAGCAGCAGATTGTACGACACAGCTCTCACATCTTGAGATGTGACCAACATGGCTGAGAAACAACTCACTCTGTAGACTACAGAAATTCTCAAGGATGGAAATGCTGCGGTTTACACGCCAGGTCCCTCCAAGCCCCTCTAACTATCCCACAACATCCCCTCCTCAACCAGCAAGAAGCTGGAAGAGCCTCAGCAGTCCACAGGATCTATCTCTCGCTTACCTGATAAGGGCACTCTCCTGCAGCAGCTCCCTGCTGAGGTTCAGGGGTATATCCTCACTGTCCACAACACCTGGAACACAGAGCAACCCTTGAGCAGTGAGGCAAACTTGAGTGCCAGGCTCAGGAAGGCAGCCCTTTGCCTCAACCCCTGTGGAAGCCATGGTCCACAGCCCCGCTATTCCCCACCTCTAAGAAAACGCAGCCATTTAGGCAGGATGTCTGCAGCTTTGGTTTGGATGAGAATTTTGCGGCTGTAGAGGGCAACGCTGGAGCCCAATTCCCTGCTGATGTCAAACATGGATGGTTTCTGCAGGAACAAGAGACAGAAGGGTAACACCAGCACTGCGCAGGCTGCCCAGCTGCAGTATCTCTGTGGCTGCACCAGGTCACACTGTGGTCTTCCCTACCAGTGCTGAACCCAATGAGAGCAGAAATCTTGGCTGTCTTCCCTAGGGACCTACCTGAGCCATCTCCCTGCTCTTGTCCATGGCTCAGTATCCTCACAACTATCCTGTTGCACCGAGCCCACTATGGCATGAGATGCCACACTGGGTATTCCTCCTCGCCGTTCTGCAGCTGTAGCTGCCTCCATTCCCTAAGGAACTCTCCTATTCTCTCCTCTTCATAGCAAGTGGGCAGATGTCCCACTGTTCCCTGGACAGAAGGGCACGTACTTGCTCAGGCACGTAGAAGATGCTGCGGATGTTGAGGGGAGCGTCGGTCTTGTAGTGCAGGATGTAGCGGGGCTTGTCGTAAGCCTGTGCTATGAAGCGGTAGAACTCCTCGTGCTGCCATTCACCAATGTCCTTGGGGTCCAGCATCCAGAGTGCCTGTGGAAGAGCAGGGAGATGAGTTCCCACCAGCTCCCAAGACCTGTGGCCTCACAGTGCAGGGCTCTTCTCTCAGAGTTACGCTTTCCCTCCAGGATGGTGGAGCAAGGAAATAAGATCTTTCAAACAGACACACTCCTCTGCACAGCCCGAGGGCAGCGGGATGTTTTACAGTTCAGGCACACTATCACAGACTAACAAATTACTGCCCCTCAGGTGATCTCAGGACACATCTCCTAGAGGTACTCTTGCCCCCCAACACATTTAAGACATCTTTGTTTAGCTGAAAACAAAAGGGATTTGGCTAACCTTCATCGCCTCACACTTGCTATCCGCCAAGAGCATCCTGGACAGTTACCACAGCTCAGCTGACTGGCAGTACTGGTCAAGTATCTCAAGGCTTGACCAGCAAGCAAAAGAAAAATGAAAGTTTAAGTGGGTCTGTTGCAACTGGCCTGCCTCGCTGATGGAGGTCACTTTCCCACCACAAGGTCAGCTGAGTGCTTGTGAAGCAACTCCCAGATTGCCTGTTTTCTGCTGATTTGTTTTGGAGTGCAGGAGATGCTTTGTGAACCACCCAGCAAAAAACAGGGCCAGAAAGTGCTCCAGCAGTACCATTTCACACATCAACATGTGAACTGATGAGCTCCAGACCAGGTCTCCTCCTGTGGCCATGCTTTCCACCTGCTGCTGCTCTAAACCCCGCCAACGCTTTCTGGAGCGTTGAGCCCATGCTCACATCACATTTAAGTTTTCAGTACCTCAGCAAAAGACTAGCATCTAGCAAAGATGTGGGAGGTTCTGCCCACTTAATAAGCATTGGGACTCAACTAAGAAGCTCATGTTTCCAGCCAGGTGAAGCCCACTACACTCACTGCCACTCAAGCCCTAATGAGTGACAGGAGTGATTACTGGGGGCAATACAAACATCCAGCCCACCCTCCACCTACCAGAATCCAAGAGATTCAGGACTCTGGCAGCCCTGCCGTGCTGCCACACTCCTTAAAGCTTCTTTTGCCTCAAAGTCTTGTTCCACAAGTGGCTTCCTAACATTGCCAGCACATGCAAGTGTCCCGGAGGGTTTGAAGGATCACAGGTAGGCTTATGGACTCAACTGGGTACTAAGGTGCTTGATAGCAGCTCTTGTTAGGTAAAGTGCTGCTTCCCCAGAGGCTTACTTGTAGGTACAGTTACCACAGTTAGACCGCAAAAGCCTCTAACTCCACACTGTCAGCTACATGGCAAGCATTCAAGAGCTTATCTAGGAAAGTCCACACCAAGGAACTAACTATAGAATCACAGAATCGTTTAGGTTGGAAAGGACCTTTAAGATCATCGAGTCCCACCGTTAACCCAGCACGGCCAAGACCACCACTGAACCATGTCCCTAAGCACCACATCTACACATCTTTTAAATACCTCTAGGGATGGCGACTCCAGCACCTCCCTGGGCAGCCTGTTCCAATATTGACAACACTTTTGGTGAAGAAATTTTTCCTAATAACCAATCTAAATCTCCCCTGGCGCAACTTGAGGCCATTTCCTCTTGTCCTATTGCTCATCGCTTGGGAGAGACTGACCCTCACCTGGCTAGAACCTCCTTTCAGGGAGT